GAGTTCAACTTGGTATGTTAGGAGGTCTTTAATACATGTAATAGTGGATTATTTCGTGCTTAACTAATGAATGCTCTATGAGCAGGTAATGAATGCAGGATTTGAAAATGAATTTTATCTCTTGAAAAAGCTAGAAAGGTGTGTGATATATGCAGGTTTATCCTTTTTGTTGTTTTAGCAACGTTAACCTCTGCTCAATTATAATGAAATTTTAATCTTGAAATTGTTCAGAGATGGGAAGGAGGAGTGGGTGCCAATTGACTCAAAACCTTACTGTTCCTTTTCTGGATTTGATGCTCTCTCCACATTATTTCAAGAAATTATTGCAGCTCTAAATTCCTTGAATGTTGTTGTTGAGCAGGTATATTTGAGAAGTCACGTGTTCTTGTTTTCTTCATTCATGGGAGGCACTTTCTATCAAACTGATAGTGTGGGAGGCTCAGTCATTAACCTTTATATTTATAGTTTACCTGACAATTAATTTGTCTTCAGTACACCATGCATTTGGCTGAGCATCTCCATTGAGACACAATATAATCCAAGATAAGAATAGACATGGAGAGGTCAACTTTGACTTTGTCTAAGTAACCTGTGTATGTTACATTGTATTGCATATGTACAACCTAATCTCTGTTGTTATTGGTATGTTCTTTTAATTCTCAGCGGACACAACATAATCCTCCCGTGTATGCTACATTGTGCTTCTTAGGAAGTGCAAGTTTGACTCTTCCCTGCTTCTGTTAACTTTAGCTTTTAAAATTTGCAGTTGCATGCAGAAGCTGGAAAAGGTCAGTTTGAAATGGCTCTGGGGCACACTGCTTGTACATATGCTGCTGACAATTTGATTTTCACACGTGAAGTTGTTAGGGCTGTTGCAAGTAAACGTGGGCTGTTGGCTACTTTTGTCCCGAAGTAAGTTGCAACTTTGTGGAGTGAATTTCATGGATAGTCACTAAACTTATACCCTTTTCGTGCTTTCCTCACCAAACTTCAATATGTCTCAATTTGATTTCTAACTTTTTTTAAATTGTATCAAATATGGTCCCCTCATGATTTTTTTCAAATATATGATGAAATGATGACACAATAACTATTTAAGGAGTTATGTCATTAAAAAAATTATTGAAAGTTTTTCTTTTTCTCTTTTTTTTATTCACATTTTTCTTTTTTTTTTCCCCTTTTTTTTATCTGCATCATTTTCCTAAGTTTCCCATTCTAATGAAACCAAAAAACAAAAATGAGAAGTAAAAGAAAAATAAGTCACACAAGTTGACATGAAGTTTTTAAATGACTGGTTGTTTAAATTGTAAGTTATTATGTTGTTATTTAGTTATTTATTTGGATGAAACCAATTGCAGTAATTGCATTTGGTACATTTTAAAAAGTTTAGGGACCCCATTGAGATGAATTAAAGTTTAGTGAACAAAATGGGAAAAATGCAAAGCTCTAACGACCATCCATGAAATTTACTCCAACGTTGTTATTTTGGCCACTGCTTGCATGCTTGTCCTAATGTTCTAGGTCTGTATTTCTGAATATTGGGGGATAAGCAGATGTTATTGGAAAGACTTGCTGAGTTAAGAATGATGAACCTTGTCCATGCAAGACTGGCCACTATGAGTTAAATGCATTTTTTTATCCATTTTTGCTTTTGCTGAAGTTTAAATGGTTCTGTCAAGTACTTGTTTTGGTTTTTTGAGCCGTACAGCAGATGGGGGATTTATTTAGTCCAGATGAATAATATACAAATAATTTATTCTAAAATATCCCAACTGCCTAATTAAATATAACTGATTAATATAATAAGGAATTGATGATGATTATCAGAGGACTTTTTTTCTAATTATTTGAACTATATTTCATGTCTAACATGTAAGTGAAATGCTGCGAGGCATCATGCATGTCCTGCTTCTAATGTTAGAAACTTAGAATACCTTACATTTTAACTATGTATCTCTGCCCAGGTATGCTTTGGATGATATAGGTTCTGGATCCCATGTGCATCTCAGTTTATGGCAGAACGGAAAAAATGTTTTTGTGGCATCTGATGCATCTTCTCCGCATGGAATGTCTAAACTTGGGGAGGAGTTCATGGCAGGGGTTCTATATCATCTTCCTTCAATTTTGGCATTTACAGCACCACTTCCAAATAGGTATGTTCTCCACTTCCAAATAAATTTTTTATTTTAGGTAATCAATTCTTAGTTTGTCATGCTAAGATTAATTGGTAAAACAATAGATTGAAATGCACAAATACAGTTTTTAGTAAATCTACATTTTTGCAGTAGTATATTCTTAGCATTCTGCTTCAACTTTTATTTGCCTTTAGTTATGATCGCATACAACCTAATACATGGAGCGGAGCATATCAGTGCTGGGGAAAAGAAAACAGAGAAGCTCCTTTAAGAACTGCATGCCCACCTGGGATCCCGAATGGTTTTGTCAGTAACTTTGAGATTAAATCTTTTGACGGCTGTGCCAATCCACACTTGGGCTTGGCTGCTATAATTGCTGCTGGAATTGATGGCCTGCGGAGGCATCTTCATCTGCCTGACCCTATTGGTAAGATTGCAGTTTTGGTATTTTCCATATGTGATAACAAATTATTGAAGGACTTTTATTCTTCTCAACATTTTCTTCTCCAGGTTACTTGGCATTCATGAATATATGTCACTTAGCAACAAATAAGTTCAACCGAATAAATTATCTTTCTGTTATCTGAAACTTCCAACACCTGCATTGCATAAACTGGTTAAAAAGTTATTCTGCAGAAAGCAAAGGTTCCTTTGACGTTCTACTTGAAATTTATACTCCCACATTAGTATCTTAGTGTGTTTTATCAATGATACAGATGCAAACCCAGCTACACTAGAGGGGAAACTTCAGAGGCTGCCTAAATCACTATCTGAATCTTTAGAAGCTCTTCAGAAGGACAATGTTGTGAGTGAGATGATTGGTGAAAAGCTTTTTGTGGCTATAAAAGGAGTTCGAAAGGTAAGCTTAACCATTTCAACTTGATGAAGTTATCTTTCATGTTCTGCTCAATCCACAAATTATGCTGAGCATGAATATATGCATGCAGGCAGAAATTGACTACTATTCAAAGAACAAGGATGCATACAAGCAACTTATACACCGTTATTAAGCCGATGAATCGATCTCCAGACAGATGGGGGAAGAATAAGCATTTTGTCACTCTTATACGCATGCAGGCAGAAATTGACTACTATTCAAAGAACAAGGATGCATACAAGCAACTTATACACCGTTATTAAGCCGATGAATCGATCTCCAGACAGATGGGGGAAGAATAAGCATTTTGTCACTCTTATACGCATGCAGGCAGAACTTGACTACTATTCAAAGAACAAGGATGCATACAAGCAACTTATACACCGTTATTAAGCCGAGGAATCGATCTCCAGACAGATGGGGGAAGAATAAGCATTTTGTCACTCTTCCTTTATGCAAACTCTTTGATCCGTATGCTTGGTTATGCCCAATGTGTTTTTAGAGGAAATCAGGTGTGCCAATCATGAGGAAATAAATAATGCTAGTTGGCCCTCACAATAACATCATGGTTAACAATCTTGTGATGCTGGCTACAATATGTTTTCTTAAGATTTTTCTGAATTTAACCATTTTCCCTTTACCTAGCGGAAGCTATATTCGTATCTCTATGTTCCTTAGTGTTGGTTCAATAGCAACTCAGAATACTTATTCAAAGGCCACTCCAAAGTGAAGTAGCACAAGGCAGAAGCAAAAGACTTGGTTTCTGCCTGGAGGAGTTTGTTCCAAGCAAAAGAGGTGTTATCCCTGGTCCTTGGTACAGACAGACAGGGGAAAACAGGAATTATCCTTGGTACCGTTTGTGGACAAACAGAGAAAAATGAGATGTTATCCTTGAGTTCTGCTGGATAACAGAACTTAAAAATTTTGACACTAAACTCAACATGATGAGAAAATTAGTTGAAGAAGAGAAAACAAAGCCCAAAGAATACCAGAATTTCAACTCAATTCATTCATACTTCTTTCATTAAGACTGATACATATTTATATAGTCAAGGTAGTGAATAAAAAATATCTTCAACTTCTTTCACTATTTGATACATTACTTCTAAAAGTAAACCAAACATAAAATATCTCGATATTGAACCAATTAAGTAACCAAACAAGTCACAAGTGACCAAAGTAATATAATAAAACAATTGGTCAGCAATATGCAAACTAACCATGAATCCATGCAAACTTGCTTCCAAATGGCTGAAGTTGATTCCCTGTTTAAATTACTTTGGTTATATTGGCGCGATCCTCGCATTGAACAATTTGGTTGAACTAATTTTTCACACAACTGCCAAACCACTTTTATAAAAATTTGATCTCATCTTTTAATTAAAATCTGATATAAAGTACCTGATCACATATTAGAAACTAATAACGAGAAACAAATGTGAAAAAAAAAAAAAAAGGGTTAAGGCCAATAGGATACTTTGTTCATTGAGCGGTGAAGACAAGTGGGATATTTGGTCATTTAAGTTGGCAAGGTTAAGGCCAAATACATATGCTGCTAAGAATTTTGATCAAAGTGATGGCTAGCATTCATCTTCTTAGAGCAATTTTTATTTGATGGATTTAGAATCTAGCGACAAAAATATCAAACCATAGTTACTCTATTTGGAGTTTCTTTTTCTTTTTAATAAAACAGCTACAAAACAGTTTCCTAATTATAAGCAATTAGATTCAATTTCCTAAATTCACGACTAGATAAAATATATAAGGGAACGTTGCAAAAATAAGATCTCACATTTCTGTGAGGAGAGGTTAGGAGTAATTCAATTACATCCTCTCAACTTTCTTCTAAACTGAAATTGCTTAAAGCAACAACCTCAAACCTAGGTCTTTTTAGATGCATTTGCCAAATATGGCATTGCAAATGTACCTAAATCTTGTACTTATATAGTTACCTTTAACGCTTCAACGCTGACAAAAATTTAGCAAAGACACAATCAAAGGGTGCTTTTGCCAAAGCAAACCATGGCATCGCCTTCCAAGGCTTTCTCTGCAACAACATTGTTGCTTTTGGCTGTTATTATAATGTTATTATTGCCTGAATGCCATGCAGACCATCCTGTCAAAAAGACAAGCTCGATTCACCATGTCGTGAGAAGGGTTGGCAATTCTGTAGTTTCTCTTAAGCATAAGGGACGACCACCATTCAAGCCTGGCCCATGGAAGCAGGGTCATGCCACCTTCTACGAGGGTGGCTCAGGGACATTTGGTATGAACTATGGTTACCTTAACGAAGCTTTGACATTCCTGAAAGCCGTCAAACCTTCCCACACTTGGTTTTAACGGGTGATTAATCTCTTGTTAATCCTAAGATTATATCTAAAAAAAACAAAAGCTTACAAGGAAAACTAAGATATATATTTATTTAATCGGTGAGAAGTTATAAGTCCAGGATTCAATTCCATTCTTGGCTCAAAGACATATTCATGGAGAAATTATATAACTAGTCGTCGTTCCGTTCCTATGTTGAATGTAGGGGGAGCTTGTGGCTATGATGATGTAGTGAAAATGGGGTACGGCCTAAACACGGCGGCATTGAGCGCAGCTTTGTTCAACAACGGGCAGAAATGCGGCGCTTGCTTTGAGATCAAATGTGTAGATTCCCCTGTATGGTGCAAACCAGGGCAGCCTTCTTTGATCGTGACCGCCACAGACAGTTGTCCACCTAATTACGATCTTCCCAACGACAATGGAGGATGGTGCAACCCACCCCGCGAGCATTTCGACTTAGCCAAGCCTGCTTTCGGTCAAATTGCTGAGTATCAAGGTGGCGTTGTCCCTGTCCAATACCGCAGGTTTGCTTCCATTTTTTTTTTATTTTCTTTCGCGCACTCTCAAGTCTGAGTCTATGATTGAAGTACACAGTTGAGAATAAAAATAAAATTTATATAATTTTCTATTTAATAAGTTATATTATTAGATATTCGATTTTAATATTTTAAAATCAAATCATATTCCACAACTGACGTATAACTTAACATTAAAAACATAATTTATGAAAAAATATCATAAAAAAATTATCAAATTATAATCAAAAGATTACATCCGAAAGAAACATGATCAGAATTCTTAAAAAGTTAAAATTGAATTATATTGCAGGGTACCATGCAAAAAGCAAGGAGGTATTCGTTTCACAATAACAGGCAACCCTTACTTCAACCTGGTGTCGGTATGGAACGTGGGAGGAGCCGGGGATGTTGTAAGCGTGCATGTACTGAAGGGTGATAACAAGCAGAAATGGATACCATTGAAGAGAAACTGGGGTCAGAAATGGCAGATCGACGCCAAGTTAGTCGGGAAAGAACTTTCCTTCCGAGTTAGAACAAGCGATGGGAAAACTTCAACCTCATGGCATGTCGCTCCCAAGAACTGGCAATTTGATCAGACTTTTGTGGGTAGTAAAAACTTCCGAGGATTGCCTTGAAACCTAGGATTTTTATATCAAAAGTAACTAGTAATACTGCTGAAACCAAAAGCTGTATGTCAACTCACAGATATATATACATGGAAACGATCCCAGTTGGGATGATTTAGTATCATCATCAAGTACTTGAGTCCAAATTCAGTGGATGATTCTACGATAGACGATGTAAAAATTTTCCTTGGTAGTATTGATTCAAAATTTTTAATCGATGACTGATGTACATGCATTACAGAGAGTCGAGGCAAATAATACAACCTACAGAAACACAAAAAGAAATATGCTTCTCCTTAAAGCATGAAAGAAGCTCATCTTGAAAATTATACCCTTATAAATAAAGAAAAAATATATATATTTTTCATCTTGGAGACATGCTTTTTTTTTTAATAATTAAAAAAAATTGAACTATATTCTTTAAACAAAGAGATCATGTATTAATCAATGAGTTAAATACTCGGATGCATGCATATCAGTTTATTTCTTTTGTTTCTTCCTTTTTCGTTTTTCTGTTTTGCTCTCTGTTCTTGCTTCTAGACGTTTTGACTGCTGTGAACGAATCTCTAACAACTTCGACTTTGCATCTCGGAAGAGAGCATCAGATCTTGAAGCCATCAATTGCTGAAATCAAGGGAGACGTGAAAAGTGAAAATTATGTTTTAGCTTAATCTATTATAAATTTGATTGACAAGATTCAAAAAGCCATTACAAACCTTTAGATGATCCATTGCTGCAAGATTAAAACCGATAGTATCTTTGCATTCCTGGGAAATTCAAAGGTTATGTCAATGAAATAAATTATAAATCTCCCATATTTAAAATATGTTTACAGAATATGTTAGTGAATATGTTACACTTAAAATCAATAATAAGAGATCATTGAGGAATACTACTTGCAGAACAGAATGTTTTTGTTCCAAGGGAATGTGTCGGATTCAAAGCTGGGGGTCAGGAAGGGGGGTTATTCAATGGGGTAAATCATTGTGTCCGCTACGACCAATAAAAATAAAGTCTCTACTCAATCAATGAATTCAAATGTCAGTTGAATGCAGGACCCTCGTGCGACCATATTTATGCAAAGCTTCATTTCAGATATAGGATATTCACCTAATGAATCTACAGAGAATGCATAAAACTGCCTCAGCAAAGGAAGTTGTACTATCTCATTCTAAAAATTGTACAGATGCTTTTTAGCTTGAAAAATAGTATGCATTAATCCAAAATACATATTTACCTTGACGCTCGCATAAAGAATCTCCTTGAGAACAGTCAATACTGGTCTGGCTGATGGGGTACTAATTAACTGACTATGATGCATCCGCAACAACATTGTAACAATCCTGCAAACCAGCTCAACCTGTGCAAACAGCATATATTTTAATAACAACATAAGTACTATAATTCAAGTGCTCAAATGCCTTTCCTGGCATCAACAGTTTAGATACCAAAACCTTAAATTAAATTCTCCATAGTAGGTGTGTGTGTATGTGTGTGTTGAGAGAGACAGAGAGAGAGAATCCACGGTGTGCATGCCATATGTTCTATATACTAACAAATCCAAGCATGAGCAAATGTAAAAGCACAGATAGGCCACCTTGTCAGGATTTGAAGTCCAGTCCTTTGAATAAGAGAGCAGCTTGAGAGCATCTGAGAATGGCAAGGCCTGGGCAGAAAACCACCTTCAGTCAGCTATTAAATTCAACTAAGAAGCAAGGAAAAAAAAAATGACATGCTCCTATTCCTATTCACAGCCATAGAGCATCATCCGGTAGAACCCAGAAGAGAAAAGTTCAATTTAACTACTAGAGACATAAAGATAGTCCATACTGAATATATGGCAGTTTTTTTCTTTTGACAAAATGAATTGCTAACATGGCTATTAACAAGTATGAAATGTGGGAAAAAACCTTTCTTCAAAGTGGCAAACATTTCAGAAAATGAGTGGTCTTTTGTCCTATTATTAGGTAAACAATTAACAAAACAAGTAAAAAATATGGACTACAATCTGAAGGAATTAGTCACAATCAGGTAGAATGCAAAGAACAAATTTGACTTGTCAATAAAAAGGGGTTAATCCAGAAGTTTGCTTATGAGAATTAATCCTCATCAACAAGAAATGGCAGAGACCAGTCTTTGGGTGTCTGTTTCCACTCATGCAGTTGTATACAAGGGTAAAACACAATATAATCTTTTCCATAACGCTGTACTAGAACTAGAGAATATCACATGCACAATGCTTAGTACCAGTAAAGTCTGCTCCAGATCATTAGCATTAATATTTGAGAGAGCTCGGAGGACATAATCCAATGGGGATAGCCCCAGCATAATCATATTTGGTTCAAAATCAGCTACTTTTCCCCTGGTTTTCTCCTCCTGAAATAAAGTAGGTAAACATATTAATTTCAGCACAAATATTGACAAACTATCCCTTTCCACCAAGCATTTTATCCTGCTTTTCAACCTTATAACTCTTAACTACTATTATCAAGCACGATCATCATCTTCTCTGCAGATAGACTCAATATTGGTAATTAAATCTTTCTATAAGCCAAAAGCATAACTTTTTCAAGTTGGTGGACACAGAATATGAACTTAAGACTTCCCTTTGAAGGTGACTTGCAGCTAACATTAGGCTATTACCTAAGCCAAAACAAGGTAAACCATTTCAAAGAAGAGATAACTACTAGCTTTAGCAAAATTGGGAGAATCTGGGAGAATCTGCAGAGGACACAATAATCATCCTTAACATCACCAAGTTAACCAGAAGCATTGGTTTTAAAATGACCAAAAGCATCATGGCCAAGAATGGTCTCCAGCTCCATATAATCAACTTGTTCTAGCATAAGTTGTGTTCCCAAGGGAAACAATAAGACTATTTAAATTAAAAATAAAAATAAAAATCAAATTTAACCCCCTGCCCTTCAACAAATTTCTTTTCTTTTCCCCTTCCTCCCAAGTGGAGGAGAAAATAATGTAAAAAGCATCAAGCAATGAGGGTCACATACATAATCGGCATTCAAAGATAGATCCCACCTCTTTTCCACATTTAACAGCTCTTCAAAGCCATGAAAACATCACTAGAACAAATGGAACAAGAGAAGAATACCTCATGTTCAGCTATACGTTTCAATTCCACTTGTGCCACATCTAGTGCATCAATTATTGAATCAGTGGCTGTCAGGGTTTCCTGAGTTTTCTTCCCTGCTAATGCAACAGCTCCCTCCTCTGGGAGTTCTTCCTTAGGTGCATATCTGTTTTCAAATGCATTATCAATGTCAGCCTCAAACATTTCCTCCAATCGTTTCTCTTTTTCTTCCTGCATATTCAAGCAGTGGCAAACATGAAAACAAAATCCAACTACCAAGGTAAACAAGAATCTTAAATGCATTAAGGAGAACTAGCTTAACTATGGCATTCTCTTCCCTGAGCCAAGAACTTTACTTTCAGTAAATAGCAGAAACATTGAAATACCTCGATAAAAAATGGCTCCTCAGTACGATCCCAACGGCGTATGGACCGGTCATGGGATCCTGTAACAACAAAATCACCACGGCTGCTGATTGCAAGGCACCAAACATCCGCAAGATGTCCCTCAAGAGTTAAAAGCAACTCAAACTTATCAGCATCCCAATACTTTACAAGGCGATCTTTCCCAGCACTAAACATGTAATGTGTACTACGGACAAATTGTACTGCCATAACACTGTGACAAAATATCTCATCAGAATTGGCAATTAAAATTTTTCACCAAAAACACATAGACTATAAGGATTAAGATGCCTTTTACATTGCATAATAATTTACAATCATACAGCACCTGTCAGCATGAGCAAAGATAGATTTATGGCAGTCACCAAAATCCAAACCCCAAATCTTCAAATTTTTGTCTGCGGATCCAGTTACAATCAATTCTCCATCTGATGAAATGTCCATACACAAGACAGGAAGTCTGTGACCGTATAAGGAAAGGAAAAATTTGAGTGAGTCCATAAAAAAAACCTGCAGCGAAAGGGAAAAGAAAAGCATTATGATCGTGACAGGGTCATAGTAATCCAAATCAAGTTAACTTCAGATCCCTAAATTACAACGAGATTAGAAAACATTATACATGCTATAATCAAATTAAGTAATAAAGACTGCTTTTCATTTGCTGAAGTTTCTTCTTTTTTTTTTAAGTAGAAGCTTCTATCACAGCATGTTCAAGGAGAAATGAAAACCAACATGAAATGATTAAATCATTTTATAAATAAATAGATTCAATTAGCGCATGTCAATTAATCTTCATAAGACATGCTAGTGGCGGTGGCATAGGGATGCAAGTACATTGAGTTCTTTACTGTAAGCACACCCATACCAATCAAGGCAGTCGGATAAAGATGCAGAACAAAAGTGAAAAGAGGGAAAAAGCAATTGCATATATGAACCTTGAGTTTTATTAAGTTGAGCAGGAAAATTCATCATGCTTCCATTTACAAATTATAGAAAACCATAATAGAAGAAAATCACCAAGCCAAACAACAGAGGACGAAGTGAAATTCAAAGCAGAGAAGGATGTCAATCATTCCTACCTTCACAGTGCAATCCAACAATGCAGCAGCAACGTATTTAGCATCTGGGCTTACAGCAACCACTAGTACATCATCATTCATTTTCATAGTCCTTACATTTGATACAGTGAAGCATTTAGAATCCTGAAAATCAAGAAGACCAATCTAGCATCATTCGACATGACAAGACATTTTTAAAATAGGATAAGTTATATGTTCCCAACATAATGTAGATGGCAAACCTAAACTAGGCTAAGTGTTGGAGCAAAATCAACAGTTTGCTATTCAGAAAATTTAAAGAGGTGATGAAGGTATGACGAACACACTTGACCAGGTTTTTGCGTGAGTTGGTATTCCCAGAACTTTACATCATGATCTGCACTTCCAGTAACAAAACCATTTTCATTTGGAATGGCAGCGATTGACCGTACTGAGCCACCATGAGCTTCGACACCTTCACTGCAAGTGCCACTACCAACATCTATAATTTCAATTTTTCCATCTTTAGTTCCAACTATTGCATACTTATTATGAGGTACAATTAAACCACACAATCCATAACCAGAATCAATGGTTCGAAGGCA